AGAAGAATAGCAGTCCGAAGAAATATTCACATACAGGGTGATCCATTCAATGAATCTGCTGACTGCTACATATACAGGGTCGCTGATATGTATGGAAACAGGTGAATATCTCGGTAACCTGTTGTTGGATTTTTTTGAATTTATGTACTGTGTGATTTCAAAACGTGGCAGATTTGAAAATGTTATAGCCAATGTTGCCACTTTTTCAGTTATCCGGATTTTTTATTAACTTCCTTATTTTGAATAGAACACCCTGTGATTTATTGAATTTTCAGATTCTCCCAGAAAAGCTAATTCCATCGATCTACCACACTTGGGGTCTAGCAGGAATGAATACATAGGTATAGGGTGTTTAAAATCTAGATTTTTCAACTTTAGTATTTTTTTGTGTCGAAACTATTAATTATCGATCAAAACCGTTCCAATGTTCCCATATTCATTTCTGATTTACTATCTACTGACATTTAATTGAAACAAATACAGGGTGGTTCAAGATTCAGAATTCTGATCACCCTCTGTATCTGTTCCAATTAAGTAGTCAGTAGATGGTAAATCAAAAGTTAAGATAGGAACATTGAAGCGGTTTTGATCGATAATGGATAGTTTCTACACAAAAAAATCTTGAAGTTGAAAAACCTAGATTTTAAACACCCTATACCTATGTAATCATTCCCGCTCGACCCCAAGTGTGATAGATCGATGGAATCAGCTCTTCAAGGAGAATCTGGAAATCCGATAAAGTACAGGGTGTTTCATACAAAATAAAGAAGTTACTAAAAATCCAGAATAATTGAAAAAGTGGCAACAGAGGCTATAACATTTTCAAATCCGCCACGTTTTGAAATCACACTGTACATAAATTCAAAAAAATCTAACAACAGATTGCCCAGATATTCACCTGTTTCCATACATATCAGCGACCCTGTATACGGCAATAATTATGATATCTGAGTAGAACAGAAAAAACTATGGAAGTCGTCAAAGACATTGGAATTGTCGCTTACTTGTGAAAGCTTGAATATATATTATGATATGACAATATTCAGATACCCCTAAAACACTCATTGAGTAGTTCTTCCGTTGTTATAATACAGGTTCAAAGAAGTACATTGAAATATTATCGAAAGAAGTAGCAGTATCCTTCGACGGATATAGCTTGAAACATCTTGTTTTTCAAAATTCAATTACAGTATGCACTATTGCAATAATTCCTGTACTTGAAGAATGATCATACATTCTTGTACAACATCCTCTGTATGAGAACTTTGAAAGAACTACTGGAAAGGTGCTCTAGGAGCATCTGAATATTATCTTGAGGTTATGATATCTTTCAAGTGAATTTTGTCCGGAAAATGGATAATTCCTTACATAAAACGTCCAGCATAAGATATAATCCTGAAAATTGAACTACGTTTGAGAATTTGACTTTCAGATAACATTGGAGAGAAATTCAGTAGATAGTCGGCGACACACTTCTCTCAAGAAGTGGAACAGAAAAAATTATTGAGTAGATTGTGATAGAGCAGAACTTTGGATTATCAATATTTATATTTCAATAATTTCAGTGTCTCCCAGAGGATTGTCAAAGTATACATAATAGTTAAGAAGTAATAGATAAACATTGAACTTTTGCATTCAATCTATTTATTCACTTTCCAAACTTCTCTAATCTGTTTAATTTGTCGTACTCGACAAAAGTAATGGGAAAATAATAACTTACCATGTATACTGTGTGAGTAACGAGAGATATTATTTGTATTCCATCAGAAAGATTATAGGGAATTGTCAGGAATTATATTCTCATTACGTTCAATATTTTTCATGGATTTTGTGAACTTCCGTGACCAAGTCTGTACCATTAATTTGTTTTTGAGTGCGAAAATACTATTGCCAAGATTACGAATGAAAAAACATTTATATAATGAAAATAAATGAATATCTCTCATAAAATCAACAATATTATAGGGTAGGAAAAATTCAGGGTTCGGAATTGAGCCCTGTGGTACTTTCGATCCCGAAGTTGAATTTTCTGGTAGAAATAGTTTAACTTGATTGTCCACTTTGAGCTATGGACTTTTATACACTAGATCAAAACGAATTGTTGGCTACGAGTAAGAAGAAACGATAACCATCAAGGTGAAGATTCATCATGATTGAAATAATCAAGAGCGTCAATATAATCTATAATATGTTCATAAAATAAACCCATAGCAGATGACGTGGACTGTTTTTGAATTAGTGCAAAACTTTTTGATAATCTCCAGTAGCTTACTTGTGCAATCAAACTTTTCCATAAAACGCATAATTCACCACCCATGATTCACATACTTAAAATTCTTTTATAGTCGTCAGCATCGACTTTATTATACCCTCGAATGAAGCATACTTTTATCAAGAAAATATGTTACCCATAGAGCTCCTCTTCTACTTGATACTGGGATAGGAGATGTCGAGGCTTATATTTGTCGTAAATTCTAATCTAATAAGAAGGGATTTCTGGAATATGACACGTATATCTGATGAAACTTCTATGAAAGCGTAATACGAAAAGAGTTTCCGAGAGCACTCAATTGGTGGCATAATATTTTCGAAACAGAAGAGAAACATATTATGAACAAATTGCATGTGATGGTCTCAAGAGTTCTTGAATAATCCCAACATTCATGAACTGAGTGAAATGATATGTATAAATACTTCCAAACTTAAGGAAAATTATAAATTCTCAGGCAATATGATGTTGCTTCTTAGGCAAGATGATATTGCTTCTCTAGTTAAATAGTCTCCCCCATTGAACAAGATGATGGATCTCGTTCATTAAGCGAGATGACGGCTTTTCGAGCAAGATGATTTTGCTACTTGAGCAACATGAAAAACAAATGAATGCAAGCCTTCCAGCGCTTGCCCAAAGAATGAAATTTGCTGTTTGAGCAGGATCATATAACTTCTTAGGCAATGTGATGTTGCTTCTTAGGCAAGTTTATCTTGATTCATGGGCCAAATGATCTCGCCCATTGAACGAGATCATAGATCTTGTTTATCAAGCATAATGATGCATACAGGCCCACCAGCGCTTGCCTAAGTAATAAAATATGCTGTTGGAGTAGGATCATCTAGCTTCTCAGGCAATATGATATTGCTTCTTATCAGGCAAGATGATTTCGTGTCTCAGGCAAGATGATGTTGCTTGTTAAGTGAGATAATTTGGCTCCCAATGCTAGATAAAAATGAAACATACCTCCATCGCTTCCATAAAACCCCAAACAATTGTAAAGCAACTCATTATGAGGGTTGTAAGGATTCGCTTAGTATCGATGATATTTTCACTTTATCAACTGATGATTCCTCGAGAGAATCACTAAATGAAGCTTCCGTCATCATGATAACCCGTATTTTATTCACATATCCAATGAAATATCAGATATAGAAAAAAACAACACGATCCTGAAGCCATTGCCTATGCTGAAGCTTCCAATATAAAATCACTCAGTGCAGATTATGTGTTTTTCTCCAAGGAAGACACCCCACTCGCATGTTAAAGTAAAAACGCCCATAACGAAATCGTGACACGTAAAAATTGGAGTGTGTACGACTGAATCTAGTTATCTCTGAATTGAATACACTTTTTGGTGGCCTGAATGACATTTGGGTAACCCGTTTTTGTCAGCGGAACGACTAGATGGATCTTTTCACCAATATAACCGAATTTCGGGGAAACTGTATGAGTCAGCGGAATTTCGTTCGGTTCTCTCGGTTGTACTGAAGATGAAAATCAGGTTCATGAAATTCTCATGAGCTTTTTTTTCGGCATATTGGGTACCGATCTTCCTGTGAATACTAACATTGTGTGGTCTCTAGTTGATTAAAAAGTTAATCTTGATCTGGAAATAGTAAATAAAAATCATACTGATTTTTTTAAACGACATCATCGTGAGCTTTACACCGAAAAACTACTGAATATAATTTTGAATTCTTTCATTCACACTAGGACGATAAAATAATAAAATAAATCAAAATACGTTCATTTCAAAAACACACACTTCTTGCGCCATTTGATATGTTCAAATTCATTGGTGTGACTGGTGTAACGTATTAGTCCCAACACGCCTATGGCCCTTGAGCTGACCAATCACACTGCAACACTACGGGAAGACAAGGTATCAGAGAGAGATAGCTACAGTTCGGGACTAATACGTCACGGCTCCACATTCATTTATGGCTCTCTGAAATATCGAATGGTGTATGTTGATTTCAAAACGCTATTGATTCAATTTCCTTCAACTTCAACTTATGATATCGATTGTAAATCAAATGTCAATCATGATTTATCGATAGAAAGAGGATTGGTGGACGGATTTCATCCCTCAGTGGTCTTCCCCACTTATATGGAATTTGTTTATTAAATATAACTGATTTGGTGTGTGTTCTGTAAGCATATATCTGAGCCTCTTGAACAAAGTTGATATTGTTGATTTATAGGCATGGTAAAAATTGACAACTTCTTATTTTCTCGTACATAAATTTGTGTCATTCCCTTGGAAAAAAGGAATAAGGTAGATTAGATATCGAGGGTAGCTGAACATATATTCAATCACAATTACTACACACACACATTGATAATCTTAAATGAGTCAAACAAGTTGATATTCTTCAGAAAATCAGATGCATTTTTATTAATAGAACACACATGGGCTAAAGGAGCTCTCGTAAGGTCGATGACCAGTTCGTTTGTACATATATACCAACGATATATACTACTAGTAGATGCATGTTAAAGCTTGATGTAACTAGTTACGGATAGTAACAGAGTTATGAGAATGAGGATGAAAGAATTTTTCCATGTAGCCCTTTATATAGTTTAGTGATTTAGGATTAGGATTTTGAGGCGTTTGACAAATCGTTTTGGTTGGTGGTAAAACAGTGTAGTGTAATTTGTGTTCCTATTGAGAATAGGGAGAATATGAGTAATGCGAAGAATGAATTCATACAGTTCAAAAGCTCACCTCTGCAGGAAACGAATAACCGTGTATGTAGTGTTCGGATCCCTGTTGATTCTCGATACCGTAGTGGATATATATCTCTTCGAACTGATATCGATACGCTAATGGCCCCCCGGAGATGTTCACGTGCTGCTTGGTGTCTTTGTCAACTCGGAAGACTAAAGATTGCCCAGTGTTGTGCAACATGCCGCTAACCTGGAAAGAAACGGGATTCTTAGGGGTAAGTTTCGAGAACGTTTCAATGATCTATTGTTATTCAAACATTTCTTCGCAAAAAATGACTTTAATCGATTCACTAACTAACAATCAAACAGTCGAAATCCTAGTCGACGTTCTTGTATGTGCATGTATGGAATCATGTCAGGTACCCTTACGAGGAAAGTGTATCAACTTTGGCTATCGTGATGCCTCTCTGCAAAGAAGGATATCGCCTTCAAGAGTTAGGTATCAACAGTGGTTCCATACCAGTTCTTTTCCAAATTATTCATGTACTGAAATGGAAAGCAACAGTTGTATCAATGGAGCAGTGGTCTTAGAAGAGTGGACATATATTTCCTCTCACATGTGTTCATTATAATGAAAGCTGTAAGCCTCGAAAATGAAAAAATATAAGATATGCGTTGAAAAATCTATGAAGCTTTGAGGAAATCTGCTTGAATTAGTTGCTCATTATTAGGAACACAGCTGAATTTGGAGTCACAGGGATACCGATTTCCATCAATTGTAATAGAAAATGGGGTGGATAATAATCTTTCATTCAAAAGATACTCTCATTCTGACCCAGAATAATTTTTGGAGTTATCGTCAAGAGAGATGAATATGGTTGAACTCCATTCATTGATTTAGATGTATGACAAACTGACATTCATCATACAGGGCGTGGAAAGAAATTCTGAATTGATAAAAAACCCAATCACGAATCTGCGATTGAAGGTCTATAAAAATAACAAGTTTCCATCGTTCAAGTTTGAACCCCTTGATTGGGTATGAAAGTATTGAAAAGGAATATTCTCAGATATATTATAAACATGAAAAAATTGATTCATTTGAATAAATACATTGAGAATTCGCATTCTCTATGTGATGAAATTATTAATTCTTTCTCGGTATATTCAACAGAAAACAACTACTTCCCTGGCTATATGCCACGACGAACATTGAATTATATCAATTGAACATACACGATAGGAATTTGAGAATAAAATGAATATCTTCTGAAAATTGAGAATTGACATTCTCTTCCAGAATCGGATGAATAATATGATGAATATAACGATATAAAAAATATATTACTTACCAAATTGGTATGAAAATTGGAATGTATGGGAGAAATATACTAGTATACATACTCTGTTCTTGTTGAGTCGTGAATTTATCAAAAATCATTCGTATCCATGATGTTTGGGATATATGCACATCTCTTTCACATAGGTTAGATGATTTTGATTCGAATAAAATTCATTTCGAGTTTCAAACTCTCCTCAGTAACCTGAAGTCCAGTCATTCCTTCAGCCATTCTTCATTTAATACACAATTTTCACATTTCTATAATGATATAACTAAAACTATAGTGGAACTGACATCTATCTGAGAATGAAAATTTGTTGACTTATCTCCAGTCATGTGGGTGGCAATTGTTTTAGATGTATGACAAACTGACATTCATCATACAGGGCGTGGAAAGAAATTCTGAATTGATAAAAAACCCAATCACGAATCTGCGATTGAAGGTCTATAAAAATAACAAGTTTCCATCGTTCAAGTTTGAACCCCTTGATTGGGTATGAAAGTATTGAAAAGGAATATTCTCAGATATATTATAAACATGAAAAAATTGATTCATTTGAATAAATACATTGAGAATTCGCATTCTCTATGTGATGAAATTATTAATTCTTTCTCGGTATATTCAACAGAAAACAACTACTTCCCTGGCTATATGCCACGACGAACATTGAATTATATCAATTGAACATACACGATAGGAATTTGAGAATAAAATGAATATCTTCTGAAAATTGAGAATTGACATTCTCTTCCAGAATCGGATGAATAATATGATGAATATAACGATATAAAAAATATATTACTTACCAAATTGGTATGAAAATTGGAATGTATGGGAGAAATATACTAGTATACATACTCTGTTCTTGTTGAGTCGTGAATTTATCAAAAATCATTCGTATCCATGATGTTTGGGATAGTTTCAAACTCTCCTCAGTAACCTGAAGTCCAGTCATTCCTTCAGCCATTCTTCATTTAATACACAATTTTCACATTTCTATAATGATATAACTAAAACTATAGTGGAACTGACATCTATCTGAGAATGAAAATTTGTTGACTTATCTCCAGTCATGTGGGTGGCAATTGTTTTAGATGTATGACAAACTGACATTCATCATACAGGGCGTGGAAAGAAATTCTGAATTGATAAAAAACCCAATCACGAATCTGCGATTGAAGGTCTATAAAAATAACAAGTTTCCATCGTTCAAGTTTGAACCCCTTGATTGGGTATGAAAGTATTGAAAAGGAATATTCTCAGATATATTATAAACATGAAAAAATTGATTCATTTGAATAAATACATTGAGAATTCGCATTCTCTATGTGATGAAATTATTAATTCTTTCTCGGTATATTCAACAGAAAACAACTACTTCCCTGGCTATATGCCACGACGAACATTGAATTATATCAATTGAACATACACGATAGGAATTTGAGAATAAAATGAATATCTTCTGAAAATTGAGAATTGACATTCTCTTCCAGAATCGGATGAATAATATGATGAATATAACGATATAAAAAATATATTACTTACCAAATTGGTATAAAAATTGGAATGTATGGGAGAAATATACTAGTATACATACTCTGTTCTTGTTGAGTCGTGAATTTATCAAAAATCATTCGTATCCATGATGTTTGGGATAGTTTCAAACTCTCCTCAGTAACCTGAAGTCCAGTCATTCCTTCAGAATGCGAATTCTCAATGTATTTATTCAAATGAATCAATTTTTTCATGTTTATAATATATCTGAGAATATTCCTTTTCAATACTTTCATACCCAATCAAGGGGTTCAAACTTGAACGATGGAAACTTGTTATTTTTATAGACCTTCAATCGCAGATTCGTGATTGGGTTTTTTATCAATTCAGAATTTCTTTCCACGCCCTGTATGATGAATGTCAGTTTGTCATACATCTAAAACAATTGCCACCCACATGACTGGAGATAAGTCAACAAATTTTCATTCTCAGATAGATGTCAGTTCCACTATAGTTTTAGTTATATCATTATAGAAATGTGAAAATTGTGTATTAAATGAAGAATGGCTGAAGGAATGACTGGACTTCAGGTTACTGAGGAGAGTTTGAAACTCGAAATGAATTTTATTCGAATCAAAATCATCTAACCTATGTGAAAGAGATGTGCATATATCCCAAACATCATGGATACGAATGATTTTTGATAAATTCACGACTCAACAAGAACAGAGTATGTATACTAGTATATTTCTCCCATACATTCCAATTTTCATACCAATTTGGTAAGTAATATATTTTTTATATCGTTATATTCATCATATTATTCATCCGATTCTGGAAGAGAATGTCAATTCTCAATTTTCAGAAGATATTCATTTTATTCTCAAATTCCTATCGTGTATGTTCAATTGATATAATTCAATGTTCGTCGTGGCATATAGCCAGGGAAGTAGTTGTTTTCTGTTGAATATACCGAGAAAGAATTAATAATTTCATCACATAGAGAATGCGAATTCTCAATGTATTTATTCAAATGAATCAATTTTTTCATGTTTATAATATATCTGAGAATATTCCTTTTCAATACTTTCATACCCAATCAAGGGGTTCAAACTTGAACGATGGAAACTTGTTATTTTTATAGACCTTCAATCGCAGATTCGTGATTGGGTTTTTTATCAATTCAGAATTTCTTTCCACGCCCTGTATGATGAATGTCAGTTTGTCATACATCTAAAACAATTGCCAACCAAATGACTGGAGATAAGTCAACAAATTTTCATTCTCAGATAGATGTCAGTTCCACTATAGTTTTAGTTATATCATTATAGAAATGTGAAAATTGTGTATTAAATGAAGAATGGCTGAAGGAATGACTGGACTTCAGGTTACTGAGGAGAGTTTGAAACTCGAAATGAATTTTATTCGAATCAAAATCATCTAACCTATGTGAAAGAGATGTGCATATATCCCAAACATCATGGATACGAATGATTTTTGATAAATTCACGACTCAACAAGAACAGAGTATGTATACTAGTATATTTCTCCCATACATTCCAATTTTCATACCAATTTGGTAAGTAATATATTTTTTATATCGTTATATTCATCATATTATTCATCCGATTCTGGAAGAGAATGTCAATTCTCAATTTTCAGAAGATATTCATTTTATTCTCAAATTCCTATCGTGTATGTTCAATTGATATAATTCAATGTTCGTCGTGGCATATAGCCAGGGAAGTAGTTGTTTTCTGTTGAATATACCGAGAAAGAATTAATAATTTCATCACATAGAGAATGCGAATTCTCAATGTATTTATTCAAATGAATCAATTTTTTCATGTTTATAATATATCTGAGAATATTCCTTTTCAATATATCCATTCATTGATTTTATAATTTCACTTAAATTCAGATGAATTCCTCATAATTTTTCAGGGAAGCCGTTTCATTAAATTTATGACTGTTTTATGATTCCTAACTAGTTTTTAATGTTCATGTTATTCCTTGAAGGAATTCTATGCATAATTGAAATAAATGAAAAAAAAGTGTTCTTAGATTAAACAATGACTCGTTGGTTGATGGAAGTTGGCTCTAGAAGTAGAAGTAAATAAATTATATCTGAGTAATTTATTCTAATGGAACATCCCAAACTTTCATTCGAAAATCGTATTATCTGTGAAAACTCGTAATCACCCAACGTAAATATAGCAGGGACTTTCGGCAAAACAGCCCTTACACATCATCAGGAATAAGTTATTCGAGGGCCAAGGTAAATAAGAACTAAAAACGAAGGAATTCAGACTGAATCGTTCTTAACGAACCCGATTCAGTTTTAACGTGGAAAAATATCGTCTTTGCTATACAGTGTGCTCCCCATTTCATGAAACAACTCTAGTAGAAGGAAGACAATTCTCGATTCTAGATTCATTTTTCGAATTATTGAATCAAGTGTGACTTCATAACAGAGGTTATCGAGGAAAGTTGTTCAGAAACAATATCGAGGCCCTCGAACCAAACCTGAAACAACTGACGATACCATGTTAGTGAAACATGAAATTTCGTTGAAATAATGGTGTGTTATTTGTGATGAGAATCAGCCATCATTAGATCCACAAAAAAAATTACACAGTATCTTGAAAACTATGCATTTTAGAACTATTTAATATGCAAAATTCTCCTGTCACAGTCATGGACGTATAAACGTCCATGGTCACAGTGTTTGTTACCAACCATTGTGGTTACCAAACTCCTCCGAAACGGCTTGGCGGATTCTCAGAGAATTTTTGTGCGTATTCGGTAGGCCTGAGAATCGGTCGTAATCTATTTTTTGAATAGAAAATTCAAGATGGCGGATGAGTTTTGTATTCCGATTTTTTTCAAAAATGGTATCTGATGGCGGATCCGATATGGCGAACGAGTTTGGTAGTTATATGTTTCAATTTAATTCAAAATTGGTATCTGAGCATTCTTGGGGTCGGAGATTACGATTCTTTTGTCAAAGTTAGTAAATTCAGAATGGCGGATTCAAAATGGCGGAATAGTTTTGTAATTATGATCCGATTCTACTGAAGATTGGTATCTGGGAGTGTTCGGGGTCGGAGATTATTATTCTTTCGTCAACATTCGCAAATTCAAGATAGTGGATCCAATATGGCGGACGACTTTTGTAATGAGGGTTAAATTCTATGCAAAATTAGTATCATGAGGCTTTTGGGTTTGGAGATTGTGATTCCCTCATCAAAATTAGGAAATTCAAAATGGCGGATCCAATATGGCGAATGAGTTTTTTAATTATGATCATATTCAAAATTGGTGTGTCGGGGTTTTCAAAGTCGTAGATTATGATTCTCTCGTCAGAATTTGGAAATTCAAGGTGACACATCCGATATGGCGGACGAGTTTTGAAACTATGATCCGATTCCATTTACCATTTGTATTTTGGGGATTTTGGGGTCGGAGATTATGATTCTTTCATCAAAATTTGGGAAGTCGAGATGGAATATTCAATATGGCGGACAAGTTTTATAATTTTGATCCAATTCTATTCGAAATTGGTATCTATGGGTATTTGGGGTCGGATCCAAAATTAAAAAATTGTTATGTAGTTATGATCCGATTCTTTTCAGAATTTGTATCTGGAGGTTTTTGTGGTTGAAGCCTTATTTTTCAAACTTTGGAAATTCAAGATGACGGAAGGAGCTTTGTGATAAATATTAGTTTGGAGAACTATAATGAAACGCTCTTTTATAGATAGCCAAACTCGAGGCCAAGCTGAATAGAAGTAAAAAATTTATAGTATAGTTTTGAAAACGAAATATATTGTCGAACTAAAAAGAAATAGATAATAAATAGCTACTTCAAAACATGATGGAAAACGATTTCATTGATTGCCAAACTGAAAAGAAGGAAGAAGAAAACGAAATAATGAAAGTCGGTTGATGAATATTTGAGACAAAAATATTTTCCAGAAATGAATGTATATATCAAAATAACGTTTGCCGGATCAGCTAGTATTTATATTAACTTCGCTCCTTGAAGTTTGGCAACATTCTCAAATAGTACCCTGTATAGTCTTCCTTGGATGTTGCCAAGCCGCATTTTCTACCTCTGATCTAAAGACTCGACTACAGATATTCGAATGTGAATAAATCAACTTCGAGGTGTGGTGTAGTGTCTAAAGTGTGATATCTGGATACAATATCGCCAAAGTTGTCGTATAAAACCAATGACATCAATGCCAACTTCCTCGGCTCGTTCACAGCGAGCTCCCTCAGGATCCTAACCCGACAGTGAATATTTGATATATGACAGACGATGCAAATGATGATGGCTCAGAGTTGAAGTAGCTGGGAATTCAGCGGCAACAGAGCGCCATCTATCATTCAATCAGAGAATGCATATACTGCCTGCGGTCACTAATCACCCCGGTCATTATACTGTGAGTATACAGTATAGGATTTTCTGTTGGCAAGGGTCATTGCGAAGAATGGGTAAGAAGAAGTATGTCAGGGTTGATGGATTGATGTGGTAAATGCAAAGTGGAAAGTGAAATCTATATGTATTGGGTGTCACACTCCAGAATATCCACCCTCGAATTCATAAAAAATCGCTGAAGTTTTTTTTATCGCTAGGTGCACACGAAAGGGAATTCCTATTAGGTTCGAAGAACATCGTGCGTTCCTAGGGAGGATAGGAAAAGGATGCAGGAGTTTTTTTGAACTTTTGGGGATTATAAGTTCTTGGAAATACTTCCTCAGGCATGGTATTCCAGAGCTTTGCCGTTTTATAGAGAAACGAGTTTCTATAAAGTGCTTTTCGAGGTTGACAACGAAAGGATGTGCAGACTGCGCTTGTCGAGTTCGTCTGACTGGTATTGCTGATCGTGGAATGATAGCAAAGATTATTGAAGAAAAACATTTCGCCGACCCTTCTACGGTGTTTCAGTGATGTCAAAGTATCAGTGAGTGTGGTATCACCCACTAGGCGGATGGCTCTTCTCTGGATGGAATCTAAGAGCATCAGTGTATGTTTGGGTGCTGAACCTCATGTGTGGAAACAGTATTCTAGAACAGGCAGTATCTGTGCTTTGTGGATCAGTAGAACTTGTTGAGGTGTAAAGTAGCTTTTCGCACGGAATGAAAATGGGAGTTCTGGAAGAGAACGCAGTATGGAGAAAAATTATGACTAGTGAAGTTTAGGCAAGTGAGTAATCTGAGTACATTTTTTATCTGAACCTTAACAAACGTGGCGTCATGAGATAGCTGACCAGAAGTTCAGAATCAGTGAATCAATTTATAAAAAACGGTATGATAGCTGAAAATTAACGTAAAAACTATCATCTGCAAAACTGTGGATAGGACAAGTGGTTGCTCCCAACAGATCATTGATATGAAGTAGGAACAATGTTGGTCCCAAAATTGAACCTTGTGTAACGCCGTAATTGATGGCAATGGTATCAGACGATACTTCGTCCACCACCACGTGGAAAAAAGTTGGAATGGAAAGGAAATAACATTGGAATCATGGTGACGATTGGATAATATACATCATAGAGGAACAATAAATAGCCAGCACGCTCAAGACAACAATACAATTGATGATAATTGATATGCAAAGGATGTTCCTAAAAATTTGTCATCAAAGTCTACGACGATTTCCTCAGTTCAAAACAATTCGATGCAAGCAAACCTACATGTCTTTCGAAACGGCTCACGAGATTGTACTCAAAATTGGTACCTACGTTGGAATACCTTCATTGAGCAATAACACACATATCCTAATCATGATGAATGTAATTCCATGGGGGTAAGCTAAGAAAAAAATGCACTTTTCATGACATTCGATTAGGTACTCTTATGGATTCGACAGAATTTGAAATTAACACAGTAGCAGATATACTGAACACGTTTCGAGGTCATTCGAACTCGTCAGTGTTGTATAGAGAATTGCCGACTCACCTTGTGCTTATCTATATGTATGTGCCTGAGGTAGGGGTCGAATAATAGCTTGTCAGGCTCCACGTTGATTGGTGATTGCCTCCTACCCTTGGAACACATGTTCCATTGAGGGTTCATGAGACCCCAGTATCCAGGACCTGTAAAAAATATAATTTATTTCAATATAAAATATTTTATGCACGAGTGAGCGTGAAGTAATACTTTAGCGCCCGGTTTGCGGTCGTAAAATGGCCCTTTAGGATAAGATAAGCCTCAATGTATAATTCAGGACATCTATGATATATTTGTGTGATTCATCATCTGATAAAAATCAAAAATATAGTATGTACTTCGGGCGTAACTTGCTTTTATGGACCTAGGCGTGTTGATACTTGTACTACTTATGTGCTACGGTCCATAAAAGCCCTTGATACATGAATAAATATTACATCACTTTGATTTATGGACCCGGCCCACAAACTCACATCGAATTTCAATAATCAACAAGGTGAATGTAAGTAAATTCCAGTGATTCTCGATTATTTTTAAGCGATTAGCTCTTTGATTTTTCTTAGACAAAGGAAACACGTATTTGTCACTTTCATAATCATGATATGCAAGTGATGGCTGCTATAAATTTTTTATGGCGATAATTTGAATCGATCTTGCAATATCGCATGTGGAAAAGTCATTTTATAGGCCATGTTAAAGTTCCAGAGCACAAATCGACACATTAAAAAGGGTGTTAAATTCGATGATTGATTTATTTATGGCCCTATCATGAAATTCATGTGATAGGGAATTATCGAGTAATTTCGTCCAATCACCCATGTACAATGTTCACAAAGCTGTAAACACGGTATGAAATCTTAATTGGGTTCATATTACTTTCATCTGACGAGGCGATTTACGGTTCTTGTCTTGATATCAGGGATGACTTGGAATGATATTAGAAAGGAATAGATGGAAGAACATTAATTTCACTGAATCATGAATAACGACATACAAAAATTTGTTAAGTGAATGTCCGACAAATCACAAGCTAGGTACCAATTTAATCGATTGTCAATAGACAAAACCTATAGATGGGTGATATAAAGTACATGATTGAACATCATCTAGATTATTCTAGATAGTTCACAGTTCGTTCAATTCGCGAAGTCATAAATATCCGGGAGAATATTATAACCAATAGATCTCATGACGACAGCAATGTATGGGCGAATGTGCCATCGAATTACGAATCATCAATTCTATTTAAATCTCAGTTATAATTACATTTTAACTGAACTCACACGTTGTTGTCCTGGAGAGGAGCATTTCTTTCATAGAAGTCTGACTATAGATAAACACTCCACTTTCCCTGTGATATTCATACTTCAGATATTCTACTGATTTGAAAAGCTACCATATGACACACAAACAATATTTTAACGAGAATAATACTTGTTTGCCAGATAATTCAATCAGCAAGTTCATATCTCAGAAAACTTCGCGAGAAAACATTACCCGACAATAACCGAGTTAATTGCTTCCATGAGAGTAACGAACCCATTGTTTCCCCACTCAGGAGAAAAATTCTAGAAAGGCTAGATTGCTCCTCGCTGTCATCAGATCCCTAACATTCCTCGCGTACTCCTGAACTTCTTTATCGTCCCCAAACGTGAGCTGATAAAAATCTAGGCGGCCTGGCGCTTTCTCAGTCAATCGTCACCCCCGGACCGTTTTGCATGGTTTTGCATACAGCCACGTTTATCTAAACGACCTACGCTCGCACGAAGAAAAACACACCGAGGAGGATGTGTAGCCCGAGTAAAGCGGCCTTATCGCACGCGAATTTACAAATAAACACCCTTGGAGACGGGGTTGTATGAGCCGCGGAGGTGTCGGAAGAATGGAGCAGAGCCCGCTAATGGTGGCTTCACAAATGGATTTGAGGCAGCAGAGACTTGACAAAGCGTCCGCCAGTGTACGATTGTTCTCCTGGGATCCAGAGCTGGGCTGCTGTAACTTCGATAACATAACAGTTAACTTCGTTTAGATTGTTTATTATGGACCTTTGCGCTATTGAATCACACTGCAACTGTTTGGGAGTTAGTTGCTCCCGACTATATACATATACTATTTTCATCAATATCGTCAGACAAATGGCCGCCAGTATACGATTGTTCTTCTGATCATGATTTGATTGCTTGTTCTTGATCTTGGACGATTGAATACTATCATTTGTTCTCAACTCTGTACTCGATGATGTTTACCTATTTTGGTTTCCATGAGTAACAAACAAATGAGAGTCGACTCCTCCTTCAGTTCCACAAGGATCAAGTGTGGCACCAACATTGTTTTTACCTAATATCAATGATCTGTTGGGAGTAACCACTAGCCCCATCCACAGATAGTACTCTCCATACTGAATTTCCATTTCTTCCCAGGCGACTTAGAAGGCATGTTTATGCTGTCAATGGAGATCTTGCAGAAATTACAGTCTGGGAACCAACAACCTGGTTGAATTCAATGCCATCAAAACTCTAGAGCCTGTATTTTCTCAAGGAAGGCGGAACTCAGTATGCCTGATATATCAATGTCTGGCACCATTATTGCCACCAAGGCCACTATGCTGGGTATATCCCTCAACAATACTTTTTCAGAGAAAAATCATGACAGATAGATCGCGAAAGCCATTTCACAAAAACTTGGATTTTTATTCCGTGGAAAAATCTACTTCACATCTGAACAGCTTCTTCAGATCTACAAAGCACAGATTCGGCCTGTTTCAAAATACTGTTCCCACTCATAGATTTCAGCATCCAAACATACGCTGATGCTCTCACACCCACTAATTCTTTGACATTATTGAAACACCGTAGGAAATATGTCGGTGACCTTTCAATTTTCTATCGATACTTACACTTGAAAAGTTCTTCAGAAATCTCTGATATCATTCCATCATAAGCAATTCCAGTCAGAAAAACTCGACAAGCCCAGTCTGTACATTCATTTCATTTATATATAGAACGGCAAAGCTCTGGAAATCTTTGCCAATGGAAGTTTTTCCAAGAACTCATATTATCTTCAAATGTAAAAAAATTCCAATACCTGTAGGTACCTGCTTCCTAGGCACCCGTAAGGGTGTCAATTATTGTGGCTCACACCAATTCATACTTCACAAAGATCCTGGTTGTTAATGAAACCTATTAGTTTTGGTGAGCGATCTTCCAGGTCCGAGGGGGAGAGTGAAACCTGCCAAACATGACATGATTGTGATAATCAGAACGACAGAGGCCTGATTGTTTGGTACTAGTCTTCAAAAGATGTATAAATGCCTTGGAATGAGCTCCTCAATTCATCAACAAAATGGAAGCTGACATTCCGATTCACTCTCCCAAGCTACAATCGTCAAACCATCTCATTTCACTCAATGAAACGAATGTCGGAGAGGCTATCTCTCTGTGACTTGTTGGTATCGTGATCACGAAAAGAAGTACATATTCTGCCGCAACAAAAGAATGAGGAATAGCGATGAAAGTAGACATCGGCATCCTTGATCTGCCAGTCGAAAAAGTGGACCGGCATCCGTCTTACGTCACGCTTCTCCTTTGTTTCCGAATTCATTACGCTGTTTCCTAACGCTGTGACAAACGGCGTGGATGGTGAAAAATGAAGTGGAAACGAAGACGACGACTTGATAAAAGGGCTGTTGACTCGAATTGAGATTCTCGCTTCACTCGAAAGGAAAACGAAAATTTCATCATGCAGATCGATGCGTCCATCTACGTGCGGTTATTCATCTGTCGCAGGCTGAATTTTTATTCACCACCAAGAACACGAGATGGTAGGTTTGTTCGCGTTCACAAAATCAACAGTCTGAAACCATCAGAAGGATGCGCAGTGACACAGAAGTGTTAGTGGTTTCGTATTCCACACATCACGTGTTATCGTTTTATACGAACTAAATTGGGATAGTTTCGAATCGGTCCAACGCAGAACGAGCCTCTGGGCACAGATTAACAAACCTCTGGGCAAGAACTGTCCATGACTGTCGTGGATAATTTCGTACGCGCATGCAAAATGAAGAATGGAAGTATTGAAAAAAATCAATCAAGATAATGAACAATTGGTATTTGAGTTCCAGTTCACGTTCTATCCTCAAGTTCAGATGATGACAAATGTTTTGAACATGGTATCTGCTGAAAATTTCCAAGATCAGTCTGGGGAATGGTGGTTTTGAATGAATTTGTGCTCAGATTAAGAATTCAGGGATCATTTTTGGTAAATTTATGAGCGTAAGAATGTTTTAGTGGAGAAGTATTTAAGAAGATCCGGTCCCAAATTTTGAGATGTGTTCATGATAACCCTAACCTACATTTGCCATAGATTCACGTGAGACATATGACACTGCATATTTTCGAGAAAGCGAATGAGAAAACGGGAAAACGTCGTTTTCGTTTATCTGGTTTCAAAATTATTCCAGACTTTTTTCGGATTGAATTTGTGGCCTCCTGATTCTGCGCAATCCAAGGACTGTTTCAACACAATGATAACACTTCAAGGTGGATGCATCATTACGAAACTGTTTTCTTCCGAAACATCATAAATAGTGAATTTTGAAATCACTCTAGACCTTCCTCTAGACTACTCACTTGAGCTCAGCGGAGTTCGGACAGCAATCGTGTGCGGAAAAGTCACTTTACGCACGTGTTAGGTATAGTAATCTTTCTGCTAGAGTGCGGAAAAATGGTGTTTTGCAAATTCGAGATGACGGATTGATTCGCTATCTCAAGTATATATGCCTGCCGTTGACTCTTGAATGTATATGTGAGTGGAAAATTGTGTGCCATATAGTATATATCTGTCTTTCCTATTCTGGAGTTAACAAACTCTTCACAGTGTACGTGCAGTGTTTATAATGTTGTCGAGAGCCTTTTGGCACAGTGTGAACTGTGTGTGAAGTTTCGAAAAGTAGAAAACTTGTGTGACGTGTGCGTGTTGAGGTCTGTGTACCCGGAACTATTGATGGAGATGTAGCAAAGTTTGAAAGTCTTTAAAGTGTGCTTTGAATATACAAGATATTGCAAAATCGAACAGTTCTGGAAGGTGAATCCGAGTAACTTTGGAATGTTGAATTTCATACTAGAAACTAGTTGAAATAGAAATGCAA